AGGAGAAAGCTCTGTAACCTAGGTACATCTTTCCCAGTGAAATTAATTGTATTATTAGACAAACTGCTTCAGCAGCTGGCAAAACAGCAGGAACACGTCGATTCTGCTTCCTTGGTTACAGGGAGTGATAGTGTACTTGACCTTCACAGGAACAGGGTCACGGGGAGGGCATTTTTAAATAATTCTGTCATTTTATCCCTGGAATCTTTATAAATGGAGTTTAGATACAACACTTGGGAGTAGAATAAAACTGATGTCTTCAGTTTTCTTCAATTGTTTTGCCCAAAGATCTTTGCTGAGGAAAAATGTAAATAAAACTGCAGAACGATTTGACACTGTAAGTATTGGAGTCTGTATAGTTTCAAGCTTTAAGCAAATAATTCTAAGATTACTAACAGATAAGATTGTTCTTTAAATGAATATATAGAATATATAGGTAGTAGTTATGCATTATTTTAGTAATCTTTTATTAAATGACATTTTACAGTAATTTAAACTGATAATAAATTATTAATATTTTTATCAAATGAATGGATTTACAAATTGGGAATATTTTAAGTGTTTAGAAAAGGCCATTATTCTTTTCATACTGATTTTAACTAATAGTTTTAATCATAATCATCAGTTATTGATGTATGTTATTGCTTCACATCCTTTATATGGTGAGCAATATTCCTTAGCTCATAATGTTAATTCATACTTTGTAACTATTTTTATAACAATCACAATAATTATTAACATTGTCTGATAAAATACATTACTGTATTTGATTTTGCATTATTAAAGTCAGATTGTTACTGCATTCCTTAAGAATAAGTCTGGTAGTAAGCAAACTATGTGCTTGCCTATTTCAAAATTGTCTAATGCAATCTTTCTCAAATTAGTACTTTCTAATACTACTATTAGCCATGGTGGCTTGGAATTATGAGAGTTTTTCTTAAAACCATCTGGATAGAAGCAGGTTTCCAAAGGCTGTTTTAGACTAAGATATGTAAAGGTGAGCTAGTAAGAAAAAAATTGTTTGTTATATTCATTGTGTTAATGCATGCATACGCACAGATAATACAAAACTGTTTGAAATTAAATTTTAAAACTGTAAATTGATATATTTGCATATTTTATTTCAAATGTCAATTGTTTAACAACAGCTAGATATATATTATTGCGTATGGCAAATAATTCTGCAGTGGCACATCTGACATTTCCTGTACCTCATGTCCATTTCCAAAATGCCATGCAATTTTCTGAATGAAAAGTACTTGTATTGTGCTTTTTAACTATCTTCTCTTCTGGGGGAAAATTAGTATTCCGCTATAAGTGGCATCTTGTATTATATATTTGTATCATTGGTCTGTTTCTTTTAATTCAAAATGTCGGCAATATAATATCAAGGACGAAGCTGAAGAGCTGTAAATAAGTTATCCTAAATATCTTAATCTTGTAAGCTACCAAGAGTCACTTCAAAGCAAGATGGCCAGCAAATAAATAAATAATAAAATAAATAAATAAATAACCTTATTTTGTATAAAAACCTAGACCGTGGTAGACATTTTTGACTCATTCTATGATAATGCCCATCTATTTATAGCTGTAGACTTAAACATTTTTAAATAGCATTTCATGGAGCATTTTTTGAGATCATTGTTAATTGTATTTCTAGTTAAAATAAGTCAGAAAAAGGCACATATTGTCCGTGTTTAAAGTAAAAAGTCTTTTTTTGGAACTGGATTTTTCTCAATATGTAATACAAATATGACCATAATGGAGCCTGCCTATCAGCCATAAGTCATAATGGCCATAAAACGGTTCATCCACATGACTCGATTTTATAACCTTTTTTATGCTGGCCATTAAAAGAGTGCAATTGTTGTAAAGTAAATGCCATGATCATTAAGTCAACACTGTGGTTGTTAAGCACACTGATAATTTGTTACAGAAGTAAATGCCAGTTTCCAGCAAAACTGTTGTAGAACAAGGTCATATGACCATGAGACACTGCAAATAGCTGTAAATGTGGGTTGCCTGCCAAACATCCAACATGTGATCATGTGACCGTGAGACGAGAGTTGGAACTTCAGAAGTGGGTCATAAATACCTTGGGGGACTCCGTCATAACATCAAACTTCACTTAATGGTGTGATTTGTTTTTTGGCCATAGTAACTTGATTTACAACTGTTGTAATAAGTTATCAAATCAAATCTGGTCATGTGCTGCCTCGATTTATGCCTGCAACATGTTACAGCCAAAATTCCGGGCTCCATTCTGGTCATACATAAATGACTCATGTATGTTAGTCATTTAGCCTTCAACTCTTTTTATATCAATGTATAATTTATTTCTTTTTGACATTTATATGAAAGGATACTAAGATGATTTATTTGAATATTTAGGTGCCATGTATTTTTTTAAAAAACACATGATACTATTTACTTCAAAAAGTAATGTAGAAACAGTACAATGTGACCCAGAAAGTTTATTTGCTTGTATTGTCATATATATATATAGATATAGATATAGATATATAAAACATTTGAATAAGATATTTTTTTAGGCCTTCAGATGAACATGAAAATAAATTTTAGTAGAATGTCAAGATTGGCAGATAATATCTGCATGTATTTATACTGTTATAGCAAATTGTTGCTTGCTGTTATATCTTAAGTAGATGTAGAATGAACGAATGAATGAAACATTGAAAGAAGTCTGTTAATCCATAACTATTGATATCTGAGTTGAACTATTAAATTGACCACATTTGTCTATATAAAATAATGTTCCAAATAATATTCTCCTGGAGGTGTTGTTTGGAATTCCCCTTCCTACAATTCTGTTCTAAGAGACAACTAAGAACACACCTCCCTTCAGTTAGGAAGCAGATTGATGACTAATGTCTCTTAACTTGCCATCTTCTTGGAAATGACAAATATAATCAGTACCGTAAAACAAAAGGATATTTAAATTAAATAAGTCTTATTTTCAAAATAAGAAAGAAAGAACTTATCATCTTCTGTAAGGCCTTAAAGGCCTGGGGGGGGGTGTCACAATGTGGAGTTGAGTCAGTGCATTGGATAGTTCTGATGGATCTGTTTTTATAATGGTTGCTATTTTATGTGTTGTTTTAATTTTAATTTTTTTAATATATTTTTCTAACATTAGCTGCCAAAGTCATTAATTTGAGATGGACAGCTATATTTATTTATCTTATCTATCTATCTATCTATCTATTTATTTATTTATTTATTTATTTATTTATTTACTTATTTTGTATCCCACCTTTATTATTTTTGCAAATAACTTAGGGTGTCAAACATCCAACATACCTTCCTCCTATTTTTCCACAACACTGTGAAGTAGGTTGGGCTAAGAGAGTGACTGGCCCAAAGTCACCCAGTTGGTGTTCATAGCTAAGATGGGACTTGAACTTGTGGTCTCCCACTTGCCAACCTGATGCCTTCAGAACTAACCAAACTGGCTTTCTATATAAATAAATAAGAAACATATATCAGGACTTGTCCACAACATCTATTTTACATTTTATAGTATATTTGAAAAAGTGTTTTCTCATTCAAAATATTTATTAAACATCCTTAGTCTATCTCATAGGAGATCCTTTATGTAATATCCTGGTGGTGCAATGGTTATAATGCAGTATTGCAGACATACTCTGCCCACAACCTGGAGTTTGATCCTAATGGGATTCAAAGTTGACTTAGCCTTTCATCTTTCTGAGGTCGGTAAAATGAGGACACAGGTTGTTGGGGGCAATATGCAAATAATGTTGACATTGTAAACTACCCAGCGAGTACTGTAAAGCACTATGGGGCTTTGCCATCCTCTTTGAAGAAAGACTTCAAAATGTTCCAACACAAGAATGATTTTACCTCTGCCCCCTAGAGGAAATAGAAACAATTTCACAGGTCTTCTTGAAGTGTCTTTTTTTTTTTAAACAGGACATGGCACATGGTCACCCAAGATCAGAGAGAGAGATCTCTTGCTTTCTTTTTAGCTGACATCTCAGTAAATATTTGTAGAAGGGTTACCAGATTTCTTGTAATTGCTGTTGCTGCAAGACAAGTTAATTATATAGCAATCTTGTTAATTTGTTTCCTCCAAGGTGATTTGTATTCCTTTTGGCTTGCTTGCTTTTAATGTTCTATATTTATTTTCACTGCTTTAATACATGCAGTATTTTAGTTTTACCTTCTGTATTTTGTCCTCCGGCCATAAACTTAATTTCAAAACAATTCTAATTTTAATAATTATTTAATTATCCATTTATCTTAGCTTTTGCATTGGGCTGTAATATATTATAATTTGCTTGATATTTTGGTCTCCAAGGGCATATACGCTTCAAATAGTTTATATTATTACCTTTAAAAAAGATTTATTTTTAATCAATGCGACATATATACTTTTAACTATCCTTACCTCCACATCCAAAGACACAGGTAATTGAATTCCATTTCCTGAATTTCCTATTAAGAAAATGGTAATGCATGGAAAATAGTTTTATTAGTGCACCATGTCTGAAGATTTTCTTTCCTGATAGAAGGTTCTAGTCTAGGATGCAAAAAAAAATATGACATATATATGATATTCAGCACACCAGCTTCCCTTTTGAAACCCTTAGAGCAGACATGTCAAACTTGCAACATTACGTGACATCGTGCAACGTATCGAGATGGTTTTGCCATTGCTGGCAATGGAGTGGATGCGGCTTCCAGATGACGCGTCCAGCCCGCGGGCCTGCAGTTTGACACCCCTGCCTTAGAGCCTGTGGAGCTGATTTGGAAGGCATTCTTTGGAGTTTGGAGGCAAAATATGTGCCCTATAACTTGGAGAATATTGAGCATGTACTCTGCTTTACAGTCCTCTAATCAAAAGATTTCAATTATTTAATAAAATATTTACTAAGTTATATAATAATGAATAAAATAATAATCACTGTATTGTTTTGCCATATGTAAAGTCTTCTTTTCATAAATCATTCTAGGTCCAAACTGTCCAGTCAACTTTATCTGAAACTCCAGTGATGACCAGCCCTTCCCAACGCATCCAGATAATCTCCACAGATTCCACCGTATCATCACCACAGCGTATTCAGGTATAGATTTGTCTTCTAAATATAGTCTGTTTCATCTTTCTGCTTAATGTGTAGCATCAGATTTGTTCAATAGAGCATATTATTTTTTTTTCTTTTATGTAATAATTTCAGACCTAATATGTAATTTTATAGTTATTTAGAGATGGTGTACAAGGAACAGATTTACTGTGAGAAAAGCGATCTATTACTTGAGAGGTTTTATTTTATTATTGGAACTATGTTTTTGTAAGCATCTTGGGAGAGAGCCTTCTTTCCTATTTGTATGCACTGGTGAACAATACATGTTTGAAGACAATTTCTTGCTTCATTTTGAGTAATCATGTATGTATTCAAAATACCTGTTGGTAGAATCTTTCCATTTTTATGATAGCATTGTTTTTCTTTTTTGCCTAACCTGCATCCATAATTTAGTAACAAGAAACACAGCATCCTTGATACCTTAAAATAATGGCATATGATTCTTAAAGGTGAACTTAAAACTTGCAAAATTGATTTGTTTGTTTCTTTACTTATTTATTGTATTAAATTTATTCTCACAATCATGTTTTTATTTTTGTTATAGATTGTCACAGATCAACAAACAGGGCAGAAAATTCAAATAGTGACAGCAGTGGATTCATCAGTAAACCCAAAGCAACAATTTATACTTGCTAGTCCAGATGGTACTGGAACAGGAAAAGTAATATTAGCCTCACCTGAGACTTCTAATACCAAGCAACTTATTTTTACCACCACAGATAATATTGTGCCTGGCAGAATACAGGTAAACACCACAATTAAAGAATGATACGTATATTGGATATACAGACTTAAGAGCATGCAGAATAAGGGCTCATAGTTTAACTAATTAGCATAGTTCCATAGAATTTATATTCTAGTCTCCAATCATATTGCTGAAATACTATCAGCTCAACAAAAATCAGATGATATCAAAACATAGAGGCAAAACTAAAGCTGTGATTAAGATTGTATAGATCAACATTGTCATATCATGCAAACAAGGCAAGGGGCAGTGGTTTACATCATCTTGAGGCAATTAGTAGATGGCTCCCATGTGTACGAATCACTATAACTTTTCTTCACTTTATCATGCCAGCAGTTACCATGTACACTTTTAAACCTTTTCCTTGCTGTCTTGCTATACTGTTTTTTTTTAAATTTTCCATATTTCTTCACTTTCTGCATGTTTATTTTGCAGTTGCACAACTGTGGCGAAGCTGTGTTTTATGTTTAAAAATTTGCAGCATCCTTTAAATACAATATCGTATAGAAATTATAGTGACAAATTTTAAATGTTTCATTTTAGATTGTCACTGACTCTGCCTCTGTGGAACGTTTGTTGGCTAAAACTGATGTCCAGCGGCCACAAGTAGTAGAGTACTGTGTTGTCTGTGGAGACAAAGCATCAGGTAAGAGATGACAAGCTACTTGGTTGAAAAGACACATTTGCCTAAACACTCACACAGTACCAATCTTTCATTCAAAGGCAGGTTTGGTGAGGCTAAAAACAGAAGAAACTTTTTTGGTAGCAGTGGGGATTCTTCAAGAAAGTAAAAAAAAAAACCTGACTTAATGTCTGTATTGTAATAGTGATATTGTTAATTTTCCATAGACTTCCTGGCCCCCAAGTGCACATTATTCCTTTTAGTCACATATGCAGTGAGAATATCTCCCAGAGCACCTAGGAAATTTGCTGTGGTTCCCAGTAGAGAGGGGCAGCATTGTGGAAATTGTGTTGCCTAACAATGGAATTGTATGGGGTATTGAAGAAAGCAAAATGGTACAACTAAAGACACTAAATCTAATTTTTGAAATACTGGTTTGGCCTCAGAGCAAAAGAATAGAAGATAATGTCTGGGAAAATTTTAGACTGACTCAATCAAATGTTTGAATACTTTTGGTTCCGTGGAAAGTCCATTTGATTTTTAAAAAATGGACTTAAGTTCAGTGAAAGTAAGGTGAAGAGCACAAGGCTCACAGTGATTTTGGCTTGCTCAAAATAGGACAGAAGAAAGAATTACTAGACAATGAATACAATAAATGTTCTAAAGAACAAATAGAAGCTTTCCTTTCATTTTTGTCTTTTTGACTGACTTTTCAGTTGACTGCTTCATTTTAACAAAAACTAGGTAGGGGATTTTCAAATCAAGATGAGACCATGAGTGTAATGCTTCAGTGCAGTAATCTATTGGGTGCAGATTGCTTCAGAGGGACAATGCTGACTATCTAGATTTTGAATTAGTCAGTTTGTACATTTCAGTAATTTGCTTGATTGAAAGTTTTTGCAATTATTTTTATGCAATGCACAGGAATGTTTCTCCTGATTGAGTTAATGCAAAAGATACATAAATAGTGACTTTTTATTAAAACCAACTAGCCATCATATCATCAGAATAATTTTTCTTTCTTTTCCTTGAGTCATAGCTGTTCAGTTATTTTCCAGAACAAAAGATACTTGAGAATACTAGGGTAATACTAGTATACTACTATTTTTTAAAAAAATACTGAACATCTTGATAAAGCCGCATGACCATACTTAGTGAGCATTTTTTGAAGGAATAGGCAAAGAGCACTATTAAAGCCTCATAGTCAAGAATGAGAAATATTCAGGACTTTTTTTTTCCCCATCCCCTATAAACTGCCTAAGTAAGGTTTCTCAAACTTTGCTTTATCATAAGCCCTAAAATGATAAATCAATTTGTATGCTTTGCTGTTAAATCTGGACAAGAAATAAACAATACTTTGAATAATTAAATTGTAATCTGTATATCAAATGGTTCAATTATACAACATTGGAACTTTATAAAATACAATCTTTTCTTTAGAACAATAAAGCAATCATATTTAAAATTATTTATGTTATGGTTAGGATAAGCTTGTTTATTTGTACATAATTATTGAAATATGGACAAAACTATTTTTGAGATAGCCACTATTGTTGCATATTTATTTTGGGTGCATACTGCTATTTATAGCAGTAATTATAGGTAGTCCTTGACTTATATCCAAAATTGAGCCCAAAATTTCCATTTCTAAGTAAGACAGTTGTTAAGTACGTTTTGCCACATTTTACAACCTTTCTTGTCACTGCTGTTAAGTGAATCACTGCAGTTGTTAAGTTAGTAACACAATTGTTAAATGAATCTGGCTTCCTCATTGACTTTGCTTGTCAGAAGGCTGCAATAGGTGATCACATGACCCCAGCTGTCATAAATACTTGCCAGTCCAGATTTTGATACTCTGAGACCATAGGGATGTTGTAATAATTGTAAGCATGAAAAACTCTCATATCACTTTTTTCAGTGCCATTGCAACTTCAAACAGTCACTAAACGAATTGTTGTATATCGAGGGCTACCTGTATGCATAATCCTTACTTTGCTTCAGCTTTTCAAGGCGGAGTGGGAGCAAATTTTGCAAGAATCAGCTCTGCATGTACAAGCCCTCGCACTTGCGCACCCAAATCCGGAGCCTTATCAGAATGTGCTCCAAGCAAGAATAGGTTCTGACAAGATTCCAGTTCTATTTTCACAAGGCTCATAACATTAATATAGAAAACTAAGTTGCAGTACAAGAAGAATATATGTAGTGTAGAGTTAACTTTTGGTTTCTTATTGTCCTCTGAATTTGGTTGTTTTCCTGCCGATGTTTGATTACCAAGCTAGGTAACTACATGGGACAAACTATGTGGGACAAACATGTAGAAAATTGGCAGAAGCATCCACAAAGTCATGGTGAAAGATCCTTAATTTCTCAACAGATTCAATCACAATTTCAACTGGGAAACTGTTGATATTTGAGATCGTCAAATCCAAAGATACTAGGGATTCCTTGGGTACTTGACACATTAACAAATCACAACCATCAGCAGGCAGAAATAAATCCCATTTACAACTTATAACCAGTCATTTAGTGACTGTTTGAAGTTACAACAAGCCCCCCCCCAAAGGACTCCGTCCAAATGTCTGATGGCCTCCCCGCTGCTGTCACATGACCATATGTTGGGCGCTCGGCAATTGGCCTGCATTTATGGCCATTTGTAGAGTATTGCAAATGACTGCATTTTATATTTATTTATTTATTTATTTATTTATTTATTAATTTACACTTCACATTTATGAACCGCCCATCTCACTCAGAGAGGGACACTGGGTGGCATAAAATAAAACATTAAAATATAAAGCAGCATACGAAAATTACCAATGTTAAAGTTTTAAAATTAAAAATTGTAAACGTTTTTAAGGAGCCATGAAGAATTAAAGCTTGTAAAAATTAGTTGACGAAGATAAAAGGAGGTCTCTCGTGGCACCAACCAATCCCACGATTGTCTGCTCCTTTGCGCTCCCCACGTCAGGGCCAGAGCCAGGTTTCAACCCCTTTTTGGAAGGCCAGGAGAGTAGGATCCACTTTACCTCTGGGGGAAGAATATGCCAAAGGCTCTCTTCCTAGACCCTGCCAGTAGGAGTTCTTTAACTGACGGGATCTGCAACCTATTTTCCCTGCTTGGTCGGGTGGTACAGGCTACTGTGATGGGACGAAGCCAATTCCATAAGTAGCCTGGCTCTTATGTCATTTTTACTGAAAACTGGCACTTACTTCTGGTTTCCAGCAAAAACGACCCATAGCAACAATGGGTTCGCTTTATCACCGTGGTAGTTGCTTGATGTCTGCCTCAAAAAAGGTCATAAAAATAGTTCCAGTCACATAGTGACCCACTTTATGTCTACGATCGTAAGTTGAGGACTACCTGTTCCATTTAAAAGATATAATCGAAAATCAGGGAAGGAAACAAACAACTCCAAGCATAGCTACCCTAGCAACCACAGTCTCCAGAAAAGCAGGAAATAGCATTGGATAAGAAATCAAGAAAGAAAGAATGCCCTAATTAAGGAACCACCAAGGGGGGAAAAAAACACACCTCAGTCTAGACTGGCAGGGAGAGCATCTGTGTGTTTTGCTTTAAGTGACAGCATTAACATAAATCTGGCTGCTGGCTCTGTTAAATCTTTATAGTTTTTATAGCTTGGTTTTACAGTTCTTCACCATTCTGAGAGCTTTCATAGTGACAAACAGATAAGTTGTATAAGTGAATGAATATCGTATAGAGAGTCCTCAAGTTACGACCGTTCATTCAGTCACGGTTAAAAGTTATGCTGTCACTGAATGAAAGGACTTATAACCAGTCCTCAAAGTTCCACCGCTTGCAGTGTCCCCACAATCATGTTAACAAAATGTGGCTGTTTGGTAACCAGATCACACTTAAAACAGGTTGCAGTATCCCCCAGTCACTTGATCACCATTGCCAACCTTCCCTGCTAGCTTCCTACAAGCAAAGGTAAAAGAGAAGTCGGTGGGGAAAGTCACAAGTTGCTTGGGCAAGTCTGTTCCCTCCCCAACTTTTCTTGACTAACATGCACCATGATCTCCCTCCCCCTCACTTGCTCTCACCCACCAGCACCCTCCTTCCCTGGCCTTCCTGAGATCACACCAAGGCGTTCAGTCACCAGCACCTTTCTTCCCTGGCTTCCCTGCACTTCCACTGCATTATAGCACAAACCCAACTCATGTGCAGCTTGTGCTCAGCCTCCCCCTCCCTCTGCTACCTGTTTATTAACTCACAGGAGGCGGAATTATGTTACCTTATGTTTGAGTTATGATGACATCTGGGACTGCCTGAATTGCTGTTGCTAAGTGATAGGGTATTGTCACGTCACTCTTTACAGCTATATCACTTAGTGACTGCAATCCCAGTCCCAGATGCCATCGTAACTCAAGGACTATCTATAAGTGATCTCCAACTGGCTTACACACAAAATGTATCTTAGTTTAATTACTGCAATCTCATAAAACAATTCTACTATGATGTAGAACAGGGGTAGTCAACCTTGGCTCTTTTATGACTCGTGGACTTCAATTTCCAGAATTCCTGAGCCAAGGTTGACTACCCCTGATTGTAGAACCTCAAAAAAATCCAGGAAAGCCCTTTGATTTACAAGAATTCAATTTTATAGAAATTATAAAGTTAAAAGCAAATTGACAGAACCATTGAATAGTGGGTATTGCATAAGTAAAAATTGCTTTAAAATGTACTTTTTTTATTGTAATCATATTTTCTTAGTTTCTTAGATTTTCTCCCCCTTTTTAAAGGTCGTCATTATGGTGCTGTCAGTTGTGAAGGATGCAAAGGCTTTTTTAAAAGAAGTGTGAGGAAAAATCTGACATATAGTTGCCGTAGCAACCAAGATTGTATCATCAATAAACACCATCGGAATCGTTGCCAATTTTGTCGGCTCAAAAAATGCCTTGAGATGGGAATGAAAATGGAATGTGAGTCTACAGTCCATAAAATGTTTCTTTTGCATCAAAAAATAAAAGATGGAAGTTTGGTGATTTCACTGATTAAAACTTGTTTCTACTATTTGGTACACTGATTGCATACTCCCAGTCAAACTCTGTTTGATGCTAATCTTTGGCTGAGCTTTACATTTAAATCTTCAAAGTTCAGATGTTTGTATTGTAAATGAAACAGCAAAATGTTTCAATTGGTATATTGATTGATGGAAATGTGATGATATTCAAAACAGAAATGATTATTCAGGAGAGCTTATATCTTGAATATGGTAGTGTATTAAAACAAATTAATGGACAAGCTAAAAGAAACAATTCTGGCAGCAGAACTGGGGAATGTATCTGCAGTACAGGATAAAATAGAGAGTCTCTAGTGCAGCGGTTCTCAACCTATGGGTCGCGACCCCATTTGGGGTCGATCGACCATTTCACGGGGGTCGCCAAGCAAGGCTGTCCGCCATTTTTTTTGTCCGCCATTTTTTCCCCCTTTTCCGGCGGGTGCCTTACCTCCCTTGGGCTGGGCCAGCTGGTGGTCGGCCTGCTCCGTCTCTGCCGGCGCAGGGGGCAGAACCACGCATGCGCAGCGCTCCCGGGCAGGGAAAGTCCTTGACTTACGACCGGTTGGGTAGTCCTCGACTTATGAACGGCTTAGTCCTCGACTTACGACTGGTTTAGTCCTCGACTTACGACCGGTTGGGGGTCACGGCATTAAAAAGGTTGAGAACCACTGCTCTAGTGTTAAATAAATCACTAACATCTTGGTTGTTCAGATCAAGAGCAAAGACAGGATGTGCAATGCCTGACTGGTACCAAAAATATTCCAGTTGCTTTTGGAAAACCATGTCCTGGACAACTGAGAATCTCCATAGACATAAACCCAAATTTGAAGTTTCAGGAGTTCTTTCCATGGTGATGTAATTCCATTTCAGGCACTCAGTAACTGGGTCACACTTACAGTTGTTTGCAGTGCCCCATGGTCATGTGAATGTGTTTTACAATAGTTTTGCCGAAAACCAGCATTTATTTCTGGTTGTGTTTTTTTTGGCAAAACCATGCCCATAGCAAACCATTGGTTTGTTTGACAACTGCAGATTCATTTCATAACCACAGTGATTCACTTAACAACTGCCACAAAAAACATCATAAAATTGGGTGGGTCATGTAACTGATCATTTTCTGACCATCACAAGTTACAACAGGACTACTTGTACTTGTGTCAGTTTCAGTTTACTTTACTACAAATTTGGATTCTTTGGAAAAATGCTAAGAGTCACCAATATCAATGGCTGTGTCTGTATGTCCTTTGCATTTAACTATATTTCATAAACGTACATCTAGTTGATACACTGTTCAAGTTGGTTCACAATACTTCACTAGTTAACTATATTGTTATTAAAATTGATGCACAATTACAATTAATATCATTACTAATTGTTTCAGGGCTTTCCCCCCTGCATTTAAAATGTTGTATTTTGCTTTATTTTTCTGAGACCACAAATAACACGGAAAAAGATATACAATTATTTTTGTATGTAGAGTGATGCATATTTGAAACTTGTTGCTTAAATTGGCACAGCCTGTAAATTTCTACTTCTTTTTTTGTTGCTGTTTTTTATTTCTTTGTTCCTCTTTTCTTGGTTGTGTTTTTAAATATCTGTTAAAATAAAAAAAAAGTGCTAAAAAGCTTAGTGCCATTAGTATATTATAGAAAATATCCCCAGACAACTTTGTAATAATATTGTATAAAATGGCTGATAATTATTCACTTTATCCTATGTCTCAGAACAGCAGGATGAAATAGAGTCAGTACACCTTTGGTTAAAATGAATAGTATATGTGAGTTAATGCTTTTAAGAATCTATGTGTTGCATAGAGTTTTAAATCTGTGCATTTGATGTGTTGTGTTGTAGCTGTGCAGAGTGAAAGGAAGCCTTTTGATGTACAGCGTGAGAAACCAACCAATTGTGCTGCTTCGACAGAGAAAATATATATTAGAAAGGACTTAAGAAGTCCTCTGATTGCAACCCCAACATTTGTTGCAGATAAAGATGGGGCCAGGTAAGTAATGAATGTGTCTTTAAAGCCCCTTTAGAGTTAAATATTTAAGTTGTGAAAACATTTCAATATTATTTAGAAAGTTGCTAAATTAGACAGAAACTAGCTTTATTTCCTTATAATTGAAACATCATTTTTATTTTATTCATTAACATTGTCCAACATTAAAACATAGAATGACAAATATTAATAAGCAAAAGGAACAAAAAGCAAAATAGTATGAGATTTTGTTTCCATTCACTCTTTCCATGCTTTTTCAAATTATATTCTTGTGTGTACAGATATAGTATATCCTTGAGCATAAGACCATCCATAGATAAGCAAACTCTCAAAATTTTCTTATCTTATTCTCAAATGGATTTATCCACAATGGTATATGAGGTATATGTGTGCTTCAAGAGAAAAACTTACTGTATATACTGGTGGATAAGTCCATCCAAATCAAATATTTTGGATTTATTTTGGTTCCTAAAATTCTGGATTTATCTGCAAGCATATACAATGCAGTATCTAAAGTACAAATCTCTAGAGAAAGAGACCAGTGGGGTTTCTTGTTTGTTTGTTTGTTTGTTTGTTTGTTTTTTACTGTGAGAACCAAGTTAAGAATTGAATCTGGAATAATTACCTGGTGTAAAGACAGATTAGCCTGTGATTTATACTGATAGCCAAAACTGATCCAAAATGTTTAAATCAACAATTAATAATGATATGGAATTGGATGAATCTTTCCATTGATGATTTGTTTGTGTTTAAGGAGTGGTAATATAAAAGTTCCCTCTCATTTAAAAAATATCATTATGTCTTTGACATTCTGAGTCAGAGATGGAGACAAAAATTATGTATTTATACAATTTATGTATCTGTACATCTCATTGCTACAACTTTGGGTAGCTACAATGAATTAAAACCAAAGCCAGCAGAACGATTCAAAATAATGGGGGAGAAAGGTAGCAAAAAATTTATACCATGTGCCAGAAATCGAAAGAGATTATTTAATCTTGTGTTTAATAATAAACAACTAAGCAACATATCGACCTATCATCTGGGCTCATCTAATACTCCAGCCCACATTCATGGGAAAACAACTAGGTCTTAAGCATCTCATAGAAGGCCAAAAGGATTGGGGCTGCTTTAACAAGCCAAGAAGGGAGATGGATCTAAAGAGCAGATGACTGAGTTCACATCCTAAAGACCTATCCCTGTTTTGCTAGATTTGTTTTCCCAGTCCTTCTGCCATTTCAGTATAATTTCTGCAAAAGCAAAACCAGAAAGTATTTTGATCAATAATTTCAGAAATCACAAAATTACAAATCATAGTGGTACTGTTCTTGATGTAACAAAGGAATATTGTAGACTTTAATAACATAACGTTATGTTGTTTTCGTTATTTTTATCCTCTTCCTGAACAGATCAGCCAGTCTTCTTGATTCGGGGATGCTTGTAAATATTCAGCAGCCTTTAATACGGGATGATGGTACAGTGCTACTTGCTACAGATCCCAAGGTAGCCTTCCTTAGATTTAATTGCACTACTCATGTTTTCCTGCTTTTCCTAGTTGCTGTCTTATTATATATGAAGAATGTATATATTAATAGATAATGTTATATTTGATATTTGACTAATGGCAATTGGGACCAGAATTTCCACTGCTAAGAAATGTGGAAATAAAGCATGACCACATTGCCTAGCAAAGGCAATCTCTGCTGTCCTGGATGTTGGTAACCAAATCTCATGGCCATTAGGTGAGACAACTTCCTGTCAGCTTCCCACAACCAATTCAGTAGGGAAGCTGGCAGGACATTACAAGTCCCAGATAGCTATTTAGTAGCCCAGTGGCAGACAGCGAGGAGCGTAGCGAGATTTGGAGGGTGTATGAGGGTGCGAGGAAGGTGTGACAAGGCGTGGGAAGAATACATAGGAATATGCAAGGCTGCAAGGGGAGATTGCAAATGGGTGCAATGCAGGCTTGGGGAGGATGTACACGTGGCTGACAGAACACAAGTGCAGAGAAACTGGAAGATTTACACCAGTTAATTGCAGCCTTTCCTGTCGGCTTCCCCCCTGACTTTCTGGGTAAGTCCGCAGGGAAAATTGCCAACGATGATATGATAGTGGAGTGCTGCAACTGGTCATTAGTGTGATCTGATTGCCAAACACCAAGTTTGCAATCACGTGAGTGCAGGGGTGCTGGGATGGTTGGAATTTTGAGGACTCGTCATAACCATTATTTGTTCACCACCATCATAAGTTCAAACCGTTCACTGAACAAATGATCATAAGTTGAGCACTACTCATTCAGACTATAGTAATGAAAAATAGACCTGGCTTCATCAATCCCCTGATGTGTATTATATTTGACTGATATTATTTATGTTACCTAAAGTTTTCATTGTAATTTTGACTTCATTTTAATTACTTTTGTACCTGTATTAGGAAACAGGCACAGATTATATTTAAAGAAACTCAATCATTTAATGCAAAATGTTCCTTTTTTTTTTTGTTTTTTGTTAGGCTGAGACAAGCCAAGGTGCTTTGGGAACACTAGCAAATGTTGTAACATCAATTGCCAGCCTTAACGAATCTCTTAATAATGGAGATACTTCAGAAATTCCACAAGAAGACCAATCTGCAAGTGAGATTACTCGGTGTGTGCTTCATATTAGAAATTTTTCTAATTGGTCTCCCTGACTATTAAAACTAATTTTTCATTGATGAAACTACAGTACTATTAATAATGGGTATTGCTTTGTTTTTGAAATTCATTGTGTCGTTCATTCTCATTTTAGACTTATGAATCAACCTAACTAATATTTCTTAACACAGTTGAATGTTGAAGAGTAGTTAAGAAAAACAGTACAAAAACAACATGTTGGTTATACTGCATGTTGTGTAAAGGTTTTTATAATTGGGAAAAAAATTAATTTGCCATGTGGAATTACAATTTAACTTTTTAAATCATTGGCAGCCAACTTTGGTATCCTTGTGTAAAATGTCTCTGAATTTATGATACACACAAGTGTACTTATAGTACTGCAGTGCCAAAGAATGCATTCCATTTCATTTATTCCCATCTAACGTCAGTAAAGTACTTTTATATGCCTGGAAACCCTGGCAATTTTCCTAGAGCTGCAAATAACTTCCTGTTTGGGGGTTGATGATGTTATTGATTGATGGACAAGATTTCAGTGGTTTTATGTCTCGTTGATAAATGTA